CTTGGGAGTCCTCCGATCGCGGAGCGTGACGCTAATCCTTGCATTTTAATATGCACACGTTGCTATCCTAGCCATATCAAAACAAATACTTCATTAGGTATGGTTGATGGTACGTCGCGTGTCCGACAATTCCCAAGAAACCGTCTGCGCCTCTTCAACGCGTTTCATTTCTACGCGTTTTCGTTTATCTCTTTTATTTCTTTAATTGATGGTCGAGAAATATAATATTTCCGGAATCGAAAAAAAAAAACAGAAAATGTTTATTACCTAAACTAAAATAAGGTGCTAAAATTCAAGGTGCACTTTACGGCTTAGTTGTAAAATAAACCATATAAGTAAAAGAAACATTTAAGTGCATTAAAACTGTTAAGTTATTTCTTAATTTAGATCGACAATAATTCGGAAATTACATTCCTTTTTATTTCCATTCCGACTCAAAATTAAATTTACGCAAAACGATTCAATTCAATCTTTTCTTATCTAAGTCCATTGAATTCGAATTAAATTAATTAATTCGAGTCTTTTAGGTTTGTCCCAAAGTTAAATTTTCGTAAATTTACGTAAACCAATTGAATTAATTAATTTGAGTCAGTAAAACTTCTAAAATATACCCTACACTTTTTTATTTGGGTTCGTCGGCTGACGTAGCAGCAGCATTAAAGTCTCTATGTAATTTTCGTAATATTTGAATATCCAAACATATTATTGTTTTTATTCTCGTAGAATGCATTCAGGATTCGAGCTCCAATTAAACGCTAGACTAATGGCGACTTAAAGATGGGATTTACAAGGTGTTAGATTGAAGCACAAGGGACGCAGATCCTCGGGATGCTTTAATTACACGAAAGCATGGGACAAGCGTGCGTGCTGAAAGGTTTATGTAACCGGCTCCGAGTTGACATTATAAAACAATTACACAATGGCAGTACTGGTAGCATTCCATCTTCATTTGCTGGACGGACAGGGGGGAACGTATATCGTGTGTGTGTGTGTCTCACGAAATTAATCGACTCCGCGGAGGAGGAAAGCATACGAAACGCTATGAACGAAACAAACGAACGCAGCAGCAACGAACAAAAAAATAAAATAAAAAGAAATACGAACGAATAAAAATATATAAATAAATGTGTCCCCCGCAGGAAGGACTTACGTATTCCGAATGCAATCCCGAGTTACGTGGCGTCACGAAACGGCCTCCTTCGGTGGGGACTTTGTTTGGGAAACGGAACGCGTTGGTTGCAACAAACGAATCGATTACCAAATAATGCCCCCAAACGAAAAGACAATTGAATGTTTGGTTATTCAACTTGAACTTCGATTCGAGTACAGAAAATAGATTCGTGTCTTTTCCTTTTTATAAATAACAAAAAAATAGCTTATATAATCTATTTTTAATTTAAAAACAAATCGAATCTATTAATAATGAACATTCCGTAAATTCATTTCCAAGACTTGATTACATAATATAAAATTTTCGTAAATTTACGTAATCCAATTCATTTTCCCTGAATGCGTGGAATTCCAATTTAACTAATTAATTTGAGTCAGTAAAACGTTGAAAATGTACCCTGTCTTATTTCGGGTTAGTCGCTTGACGCACCGTTAAATTTTTACAACTTTTGTATACCCAAACTGATTTCTTTCTCTCTCTCTCTAAATATTATTTCCTTTTTCTATATCCAAGAATATAAATGGATAATAAATAACCGAAATAGCTTATATAATCTATTTATAATTTTGCGTTTGATCACTAGATTATATTTATTTTTAGTGAATTCGTTTGATAATTTTGTATAAGTCACTATTATTTTAATTTGAGTCGATGAATTTGTATATTCGATTTCCTTGAAGAAGTTGTTGAAAAGGAGAGCGATTTTTCTTCTTTAATTATATATATATATATTTATTTTTTTGTATAAGCGAAACCAAGCGACGGTAGCCGCAAGGCGTGAGCGATTTCAGGCCAGAAACTTAAAACCACTTTCACTTAGTCCAGTGACCAAGTTGGATACAATCCATACTGCGATACCAGTTTCGGAATTACACACTCATTACGTCTATGGCCGGAGGGAGTATACAGCTGTCAGTGCCATCGCAGGATGAAGGAGGAGAGACATATCGATTGCAACCCCGAAATCGAAAAAAAAAATAAATTAAATAAAATAAAAGTAAACTCGTTTCCGAATCTACATCGAAAATAAATAAATTTGCGAGGGGTCGGAGACACGTACGTGCTGAACACCTCGTTGCAATGACCCAGGAATGAGAGAGAAAGAGAATCAAAACGGAGAGATAAAAAAAAGAGGTTTGTTTGTCTCTTTCTTTTGTGGTTTCACTCTCTCATCTGAGAAGATTGAGAATATGCACAACAGAGACGCTCCTTATGCAGTCTTTCCCCCTCTTTGCTCATCGAAACTGAAAGTGCCTTAATTTATTATACTTAAGGCCTTAAAAAGCCTTGCGTTATTTACTTTAGCCTTATCGTCGAAGGAGGAACGCCGAAACGGAATAAATCGAGGAAAAAAAAAACTAAAGAAAAAGGAATGAGTTTGAGGATTGGAGCAAAACAAACCCACGCACACCCAAATCATCGTCATCATCATAATCATCGGCAAACACTCGATGCGATGTGAGGACGGGTCGAAACCCCCTTCAAGCGTGCCCCTGCCAAGTGACAGGACAAAAGTGAGCAAAAACAAAAAAGCTCAGGACGCAGGACGATATGAGTTGAAATGGGATTGAAGTGGCATCTCGTTATCAATTAGCTGTGGTCTCTGTTCTCAGGCATTCCATGGAATCGGGTGTGCTTTGCACGTGGTTGCGAGATTTTCGGTGGGAATTTTAATGCACGCTATCCCCGGGATAATTGAATAAAAATGTCCGAGTCCGAGTGGTGTGGAGTTCTGCGAAGCCGAGGCCGCATTTTATCATTAAAACATAATTCAGCCGATCGCTTCTTTTTCCGACGGCCGAGGAGCCAGATAAATAATTAACAACTCGAATAAATTCATTTATTTCTTCATCCCAACGATCGCATCTCTCTCTCACTCATCTCTTCCTCTCCTCTTCCATCGCTTCGATTTTTAATTTCGCGCTGCCACTTCTTACATAAATATATTATGATGTTCGTTTTTACTTGCTGTTGTTGTTCCTCTTCGTTGTTTTTCTTATTTCTCCCCGTTTCTTCGCAGTACCACTGCTGCACTCTAACTTTCGAAACGCCAATTTCCAAGAGTTCTGTGCCTCGCTTTTATCCACCTCGCCACAAACTCATTATTTATTCATTGTTATAAACTTACATAACCTTCCATGCAGTTTCTTGTACAAACACCACTCGCATGTGCAGCTATACCTATATACACATATATACCTATATATAAAAACACACACACACATCAGTATATAAAGCAACTGCTCCGCCATACAATAAAGACTCTTACGACACACTCGTTATTTTTTAATATTCTATTAATAATCATAATAGCTCTTTGTGAACGAATTTGGAATGGTAACATTCACGAGTCGCGTTTTATAACGGCGCCCGATGCTTTCCCAACAATATACGTACATATATATATAGATACACACATATAATACTCCAAATGGAATTAAGTCTCGGTCATCAATTATGGCATTATATGCAAAATCGCAGCGAGCTCAAATAATGAAGAAAAAAAAAGAGAAAGAGCGCACAACAATTAGTTTGTTATTCAATCATCGGGCGTAGATTGGAATGTTACGTAAATCATTACCACTCCTATTAGAATCTTATGAACTTTGTATACCAAAAAACCCAAGCCATGCATAGTGCAAAAACACGCTTTACGTTTCTTATTCACCAATTATACGAAATAATAGACACAAATTGCGTAATTCTATAGCTCAATTTTCGATTTCCATAAATAATGAAAATTAATAATTAGAAATTGTTTTTTTTAATAGTTTTATAAAATATTAATTATTACTTTATAAATGTAAAGTAAACATGTTTTTTTGTTTGAAATTTATATTAATTTTTGACAGTTGAATTGTTGAAATATTGATTAATAAAAAAAAAACTTTCAAAAGTTTCGTGAATCGCTTGAATGGTTTCGATGGAAGAAAAAAGACCATGAGAAGCTGCAAAGTTATAAAATATGGTCGTTTTTTGTTGCTCAACCGCTTGCAGGAAAACGTCGAACGTCTATGACCAATTGTGGATACAGTACAGATGCTATTACAATTCGGTGACTCAAACGATTGGTTAAGCGACGAACCCGGTTACGCTAATACGGGTTACGTTCGGTTTCCCAACGCGATGTGCATAATCGGCGAATCAAAAAATTTCATTACTAATATGAAATAGACATATCAAATGACAAAAAAAAAATAGTATGAATGTAAAAAAAAATAAAATAAGATATGTTGTGGACAAAAATACGGTGTATGATTTCAGGAAGCAGCTGCAAATTGGGGAATTTCAAGAACGCTTTATAAGATTGCATCTCGCAGAGGAACGAGTTTTCCGAAAACTGAAAAGGCAAAGTTCATCAAAAATAATAATACAAGAAGTGCACGTAATGTAATCGCTGTGTGAATTTTTAGTAAAGCGAAAACGTTTTGATGGGTGGTTCGATCATTTAAACTGTAGTTATCGAGATGTATTTAAGTTTATTGGAGGACAATGTGATGTACATTATTGTAGTCTTACATGTAATTACTTGTATCGGAATTCTTGGTAGAGGTTCATTCCTGGAATTAAGTTGAACGTGGTTTGCTGGTTTGCTATATGATTTAGATTAAGTAGTATCATTAAAGGTGTTTAATTATATTATTTGAAGTTGTAGACTTAGGTGTCTAATATTGATTAGTTGGATGTAATTGCCGTAAGATGTCGAGACCATTTGGAATTTTGTAAGCGTCGAAAAGAAAGTGGCTCGATTGCCACTTACCTTGGGAACAGTTACTACGTTTAGAAGTCTAACCCACTTACTCCCTACGTCATAATGAATGTGACGTAGAGCAGACTTGCGCACGCTGTTTCGGAAAGCGCGCACTCCATCGGATGTCTTAGTCTGCACGCGTGCAGGAAAACGGTAACTAGAGGCGTCGCGACGAGCGCACCAAAAGACAACAAGATACGAAATACCATCGAAACCTGAAGAAACTGAAGCTGAAGCTGGAAAGATCCAAATCCCGGAAACGTGTGCTATGTATTCGAGTTAAATTCGAGGATTAGTGCAGTGCCATCGAGATATAAACGAATTAGGATTATCGTCTTTGCCTAAGTTTTAACAAACTACATTCGGTAAGTTTAGGGGTGGTTATTATATTTCGGGGGTTTGACGTGAAAACGTAGTTTCTTTTCGTTACTGTTTTCAACTCATGCACACATGTTACTAAATAAGAGGTGCAATCCGCCAGGTGTGGAACTGGAGGCGATTGTCTCCTCGGACACACTCACCAACTCCTTTGCGCCACTGGAAATCTAACAAGGCTAGAGCTAAAGTTTCACTCTGCCATACGCGCGTTTCACCAACTCTCTCGAAGACGAGAAACACGTACTTTTTGTACATTCAAACTTCGAGCGAGAAAAAAAAAATATGTAGAAAACTAAAGAGTAAAAATACGATTAAGTAGAAAGAAGGCAAATAAAAATGAAGAGATAAACAAAACGAGAAGAGTATTATGGCCAAAGTGGAGGCTAATTAACTTGTGTGATTAATATCCTTGCGAAGGACGACGCTGAAAAGTGTAATGGCCAGATTTCATGTCCGAGCCTCGATTGTAAATCACCGGATAATTAATTCCCTGAGCAGCGGTCCCTAGAAGGACGATGCTTTATGGCGTCCCGAGTGGAACCGGGACGTCCGTCAAAGCGTTGGGGGGTTGGGGGTTGGGGTTCGTGGTTCGTTGACACGGAGAAAATGGGATCGCTGTTCTGGCCCGTGTCGACGATGGGACTCGGGGTCCTGGACCCGTTTTCGGCTTCGGCTCATCTTATTCCGGTAAGGGCCCCGGCGCCGCAGCAGCACGTTGGCGTTGAGAGATGCCAATTCATTAAAAAGCACGACAAGGAAGGCTTATACATATATAAAATACACTTATATATATATATATATATTGCTGCAGTCGATTCGCAAGAAACGAAACCGGCAAAAAACAAAACGATATGTATGTGTGTATGATGTATATGGTCGAGCAGGGCGCAACAACCTTTCCGGGATGCCAAAAAATGAAAATAAAAGAGTTATTTATGTGGGAAGAAGTGCTGAAATCGATTGGGTATGCACCTCGAGTACGTGAAAATGACATGGCAACGGTACAGTACAATTCCAGAATGATAATTAGCCATGTACTAGAATGCAATGTATATCAATAATGAATATTTTAAGCGGCTTTAGGAATAGAAAGCTGACTGCACTTCCTCTTCTTTCGTTCGGTGAGGCTCCTGTACGCAGGCAGCTTTTGTCTTTTGATTTCTTCTCGATTTTCGCTTTTCAGCGCGAAGGACGAACTCGGTTGGTTCCCGTGGGGTTGCCGGTTTCGCAAAAGACCAGCTTCGAAATTGTCTCACGCGAACCGTTCTTTTCTTTCGTATTACGAACATTTGAAGGCATTGCGACATCGGAATAATTGTTGCCCATTCAAACGGGTTCCGTTCCCCCCCGTTATGAAATATTCATGCGCTCTCGTATTATTATTATTATTATTGTATACGTTGTTGTTTTATATTTTTTTTCTGCCGAAAACGAGATGCGAACGAACGCACGCACCTTTCGATGGTGAAGAGGTAGAAGAGGCGGCGGTGGCGGTGAAGGATGAGGAGGAGAAGGAGGAACATTCTTGTTTTTCCTCGGTGCGTGGAAATCGAAAGTGGCCGCGTCCGTTGGACAAATATTGGTTGCCGTGCGATTTCTATGCAAACACTGGGAAATACAAAGAGCCGAAACCGTTTTGGTAGTGGTAACGCACACACATAAATATTGGACTTTACTTTCGGAGCACACACACGCGTACACACTAAAAAATAATGGCTAAATGTACCGAAAAGGATTGGCACAAAGATTCCGCGCTCCGGATAACATCTCAAGCGTATGCATTGCGCATTTCCCTTATACAAAAACCAATTAACCGGACTCACATACTCAATAACATTCGTTTCTATTAAATCACAAATTTCGCTCTAGTCTCGTTCCGTTTTCTTTGTCGTCGCACGAAATAGAAAATCATTTCTTACAATGGTCCGCAACTCAAGCGGAAACCATGCTCTATTCTACTTTTTAACTCTTTATAACTCATTTTTTAATAACACTCAAAATCTCTTACATTACACACTCTAGTTCAATTTAAATCATTAAAGAAAATACAAAACTTTTTAAGATATGATAATAATATAATCCGTGATAAAAGTACATATGCTAATATAAGAAAATACATAATTCCTACATTGTTGTTCAAATAAATTAACCAAAAATTTAAACAGAAGTCAGTTAAAAAAATAATGAATGTATGAAACAATAAATTAAATCAACTATTTATGAAAACTTGAATGAGAAATTTTATGTCTCTGAACTTTAGCTTAAAGTTCATTATATATAGAAAAAAAAAAGAAGAATAATTTACCGAATTCATTCACCGAATAGATTATACATAATGATATAAAAATAATAAATAAATTATGTTTAATATTTTCGTGCATAATCGTTTTACGTAAAGCATAGAAAGAATGTTGTTTTATGCCTCTGGAAATTCCGGTTCAAAACATTTTTTTTTATATATAAATTTTGTGATCAACAAAATTCAAATGCAAATGTTCATCTTTGAATAATCAAAATCTCGTTTCATTGTTTTTTTTCTAAATTGCTTTTGCAAAATTATCAATAGCAAAAAAGAAACCGGTGAGTATATACATAGAAATATGCATGTTCCGTTACGCGCAAATTAGAGTTTTATATGAAAAAAAAAAAAACTTTGAAACATTATGTTTTTTTACCGTTGACATTGATGTATCCTGCAGAGCAAGTCGTAATAAGTAAAGGTTCATAGAACGAAAAAAAAATGACCTAGAACATGTTTCATTGAAATAGTACGAAAAATGTAAGTTTTAACAATAAATTTATTTAAAAATCTTTATTTTATATTAATTTGTAAATTGCTAGTATAGATTATAATTTATGATTCTTGCATAAAGAAAATAATAAAATTAAGTATAGAATTAATATCCATTGAATTCAGTAATTTTAGGGGTGAAAATTTTGAAATTGTTATTATAGTGGTCATTTGATGTATAGAGCGAGTTTAGAGTATGAGAATAAAGTGATGGTCGAAGGGGTGTCCAGTATTCCCCTCCTGTGCAGAACCGGAACAAATTAGTCGTAAAGGCTATGAAGCGTTTTAATGGATAAGTTGTGCGGCTATAATCTGATAGGATTACGGATGTATTAACCGGAGGGGAGTTTATATCGATACAGTAAGAAACGTGTTATTGAAATTCGAATCTGTTTAAAGTCCAAGTGCGACTGTTATATTAATGTGAAATTAATCAAATGTTACATATACAAGGATCTTCAAGGATGATTATGAATATTGAAATCTGTAATGTAAATTTGATTTGACTTTGAATGGGAAGAGTAAGGTAATGCGAAGAATTCAATCTGAAGTTGTGGTTTGTTCTAGACCGGGTCCCATTGAGTTACCATTGCCAGTAACCCCACAATCCGAAATGGTATCGAGGCGCAGGATCCTGTCAAGGTCGCGCGACGACCTCCACATGGACTCGACGTTTCAACCCCCTGAGGACGAGGAGGACGTCTGGTATCAAAAGGACAAGCTGTACAAGGTGAGTGCCCAAACCGTTTCTCAGTAGAGGTAGATATAGAGAAGGATGTAGATAGAACCCACCTTTCAGCCTTGTAAATTCAAAATTGAACTAATTACGTGTCCTTCGATAGCGATCGCGGCCGAAGTGATTATTTAATAACTCATTTGCAATCGTTCATTAGATTTTCGGCGCTGCCGATGCGTTAGGGCGGAGCCCTGACCGGAGGGTTGATTAATGACCGAACGCACGCCTAATAAATAAAGGATAAACACCATTATCCTTGCGTCTAAAGGAACACCTTCGAAACTACCTGTGCTGTGCGCGAATGTCTCCACCCACGAGCCGCAACAACCACCCGGCTTGGCTTGGCTCTGGTGCATGGGAAACGCGCCGAAATAATCAAATAAATAATTAAAAGGTTGGCCTAACGTGAAACGCTCATGACTCAGTTGTACCGCAATGGGAACTACCAGTTAAGAATAACAATTAGGAGAGAGGGACATTTTTTGAATTCCAATACGTACGCAAGCTTCGATCCGCTCCATCCGGGGGGGAAACGAGAGGAAGAAATAAAGAATTAACTTTTATATATACACACTTATGCATTGATATTTATGAATGAAAAACAAAATAATAGAAGAGAGAAGACGAAACTGAAACTAAAATCGTCCTTTCACGGTCCGCTCGTCGTAAGAAAGAAAAGGAAATAAAAATATATATATATTCGAAAACCCACAGGGAGAGAAGAAGGAGTTGGAGGATGCGATACCATCCGTACGTTATTATATGCATGAATTGCATTTAAATCGCGCACAACGCCGGATTACTGTTGCACATAATTACTCAAAGCCTCTGCAAATAAAGCGACAGGAAGTCGGGATTAAATGTTAAGCAAAGCGGAGGAGACGAACGAAAACATTTTATTCAAAGCCATTACCCATTTTCAGCCCACAGAAATAACCGAAATGACAATTAAGCAGCAACATTAAATTTGGAATCCTGTTCCCACTCGCAGCATAATCACCGTTAATGTTTCTTTTTGTTTTATTTTTATTTTTTTTGGTGAATGAGTGCGTTTATAGCAGACAATCAGAAAACTGCAAATTACAATTAACGAAACTTTTACCTGAGGGAAACCCCTGCATTTGTGCATCAGGATCGCATGTTTCTGTAACGGTACAATGCGACCCCTCAAATTGTTGTTGTTGCGCGATATTTACCTGAGGCTTACCCCTAACTTTCGCGCATCAGGATCTCATATAGCGGAGGAGGTGTGTTCTGGTATAATTGGATACACACATACAGGCGTGATATTATATCATGACAGGGGCGGATTAATATATATCTCTATACAATACGTATTAAAAATTGCATGGACCTGTTGTTTATCTTCTTATACTTTTTGGGGGGAGGTTGTAAATTCGGCGATCGCTGATTTAGGCGATCCTTTTGGGAATTAACATAAGGACAACATAAATATGAATTCAAGGCGAATTAAATATCGCATCCAGCGGTCGCCGCAAATGAATTCTGACACGTCGTCTCTTATTTATTCGCCAGGCGAAAACACGCTAATAAATCCGCACCGCCGAATTATCCCTGAATTTGTGACTGTTATTAACTAGTCGTAGTTAACACCAATTCAACTAAAAGTTCACTTATGCAATTGAGATTCGAAGTATAGTATTCTACTCAAGTTAAACTATTGCTTAAAACTAAATTTAAGTTTCAAATAAAGATTTTTACAAGTTAAAGTTTTTGTTATTTTGAAATTTATTGTTGCAATAAATTATTATTATTTTTTATTTTTATTATTATTTTTACATTACAGCAAATCATTTATAATTTGTTATTTTCAATTCATTTGTTTACTTTACTTTATTCTTCTCCCAATTATTCTCTGTGGATTTTATGATTATTTTGTTGTTGTGTGTGTACGAGAATTATTTTTTTCATTCGCTGTGGGATAAAATGAAATGTATTCGAATGGCACAATTTTGAAGCCAGTGAAAGTTTTAATTGCACATCGCACACATTATTAACAATTCTATGGGATGCAGAAGTTGAAGGAACTTCTGTCTTTCTCTTCTCGTTTCTTCGCCTCTCTCGCACTCGAATCGAAAACGTTACATAACACATTTGTTTAAGAGCAAACAAATAAATAAATAAATAAATAAAATAAGAAGCGGCGACGACGAATTTCGACAAAAGGCAAAAAAAAAATAGTGAATTATGTAAATCCAATCGATTTCCTGCGAAAATTTGCATAACAATAAATTTATGGATTTTCTCTTTCTCAACTCGACGTGCAACAGGAATTCGCTCTTCTTTTCGTTGCTGTGCATCCAATAAAAACGTCTCGGGTTTCATAGTGCACATTATTATTTTTTTTCTGAAATTTAATTTTGGATCACGAATTCTTTGTTGATTGCTATATAAAGAAAATAAAAAGCGTACGCCAGGTGGATATATACTAAGAACATCATGTGTTTTGGCCTACCTGAGCGAACGGCTTTCTCTTTTTCCTTCTGCTCGTTTTCTGGTGCTTTTGATTTCTTTTTCTTGCTTTTTTTTTTGTTTTTTTCGTTTATTGCAAATTTTGTTTTCGATTGCTTTGGAATTGGTTTATCCAATGCTCCTTCGGTATACATAATCGTCCTTGAGCAGCAGCAATAACGTGAAACTGGCAAATGTGCAAAATTGGAATGCCGAACGCTTATGCACGTTCACTCGCTAATGAGTCCACGAGAATCGGTATTACTGTGTCAGAAAGAAATGTCGAAACGCTTCCTTTTACAAATGCTCTAATCACAATCACGAGAGAGCAAAACTAGCGATGGAGACGACGTCCAGTGGATAAAGCTATATAATACATACAGGCATAAGTATATACAATATCTCTTTAAGTTGCATAATGTAATTCAGAAAGGCAGAAAGCCAGTTCCACGATAGCGCGATCTAAAGAGCCTCGACGTTCTTGCTTTGCCCCATAAAAACGCGAAAACCGCAATTTTAAAGCGTAATAAACATGCATTCCGTGATGGATTAGAACTTACTGCCTGTGGCTATCTGGAGTACCACGAGTCTCGATTCTAAGTCCTGTCTCCTTGTTATTTAGTTAAGATCTACTAGGTTTTATTTCCATTTACATTTATGAGATAAAATACACGTTGTAACATATAAATAATACAAAATTGTATGTTTTTAAGTTCGAATCGTCTTAACCTTTGCATTGTTAAGCTGTTGTCCAATAGATTAACTACCAATACATGTGTATGCGATTCTTAATATTTCCTGGAGAAAGTTATGATAACCTCAACGTTCCCAATTTAAAGGTCTTCGTGTATTTTCATATTGAAAATATACCTTTCTCAATTATTTGAATTAAAAATTATCCATAATTGAACAAACTTAAAAATGTATATAAACGCTGTAATATTGTGGGTAAGTATTTAGCTTAGACTATATGGTTTAAATATAAGTAATATTAGTTGCATAATATAATTAAGTAACTGATTTTTTGATTCTATATCCTTTTCTTTTCCCAGCGTAATTTGATCTCAGGATGTACGCTTTAGGCAATTGAATATGCGTGTCTGGACAATGTCGAATGCAATCGAAAGGTCTAAAGTTAAAACGTTACGTATAAGTATAGATTTTATTCGTCAATAAATGCCTATTCTTAATGTCTATCATCGGGACTGACCACCCCGATGCGATTTCCATAAAGTAATTGAACACAGTTTTACGACCCTTATAACCGGCGATATCGAAGGGGGAAATTAATTGCGGACGACGGAACAGCGGCGTTACGCAACGCGCGCGTTGCATAACCGCAGGTGGGTGGGTGGCTTAGCACCATGCATGCATGCATGGGTGGGATGAGAGGATAGAAGCGACGAGGAGAGGAGAGGATAGAGAGGCCTGGATGAAGTGAAGCGAGAGGGATAGGCGAAAAAGAACGGAGACAGCTATGAAAGGAGAATTTACTCGCGAAGATAATGTCAAATATGCAACGGGCTTGTCTATTAACATTTATATGTGTATGAGTATGTAAGAGTATAAATAATAAAAGATGGCAGGGCAATGGAGAAAAAAATAAGTAAAAACAAGAAGTGGAAGAAGCCGGAGTAGGAGGATGGGGATGAGGATGAGGACGAGGAGAAGTAAAAAAGGAAAGGATGAGACTTGTTTTCGTATATTATTAACTTTTATTATAACGGGATCTGGACAGTCAGCATAAATAATAGTTTATGGTCGCGCATTTTTGGAAGGACTCACATGAAACGCAAGAAAACCGGCACAAGGAAGGACGAAATACAAGTGGAATAAGATAATCAACTCAACGGAGCAATGCGAATTAGTACCAATTACGCAACTCGCGAAACCTTATTTATGCGCCACTAAAAAGGCCGAAAAACCAGTTGTCCCGGAAAGTAAAAGTGCAATTTGCATACCGCATCTCATCCTTTTTGCAGAGAAGGAACACAAACCTTCATTAAATAAACGCATTACCAACAAATCCACCTGTTGAATAAAACATGTCCGAACCCAAATAATAAAATAAAAATAGTACAAACAGCAACAAACAACAACAAAATCCATCGATTTATCAGAAATCAATTGCGCAATCCTCACTTTCCATATAGCAGTTGCCCAACGCCGATTTCTCTCTACATCTCTCTCTACCCACAAAAAAATAAAAATAATTAAAATGATTTATAGAGAAAAATAAAAGGCAAATAGACAATCGCTCGATTATATAAGATTTCCCCCGCTTTCCGTTAAATACCTATCGAACGTGATTACATATCGATTGCGCAATTCCGTGCTGTAGCTGCCGCGAATGGACGTTGCATAATGCGCGATTTAGAGAGAAAACGCAAACGTTACGCAACGCGATTATCCTGCACGGGGTGCATCCATTCGGATTAGCCAAATCCGTGTCGCATCTATCTAACGCTGATCCGCTAATTGCCGAAGTTTGTTGATTCTTCTCTCATTTATTTATTTTTTTG